TAGAAAGAAAAAAAGCAAAGATGAAAACAATACAGAAGCAGATTTTATATTTTATTTCAGCTTTTTGGTTTAGACCAATGAAAATTCTTAATAGACATGCAACTTAACTCTTCACTCCAAAGTAAAATTTACACCCAGTGAAGTGAATTTGACAAGAATGCAATTTGTTGAGAACTTTGTTGTAAAAAAAAAAAAAAAAAAAGTTGCCCAAAAAATATTTGAACAAATGGCATTTAAAAATCTAAAATAATTCAAAAAAATCTGAGAAAACAACAAAGTTAATCTCAAAAGGTTTTTATAAATTAAAACTTTTTAAAGTTTAATGTCTGGATTGCATGTCTGCCAATATTTATTTATTGGCTTTATTCAAAGCATGAAGAATTTTATAATCTACTAAAATGGAAAATTTTAACAACTTTTGCTTTAGAAAAAGTAGGTTTGATGGATCTGTGTGTCTCGTATTATTAATAACCTACCAATAACCAAACCTTAACCTAACAATAATCTGTCCGTTGCTGTCTATAATCTCCTACAAACATCTTTTTTAATAGATTTTGTAGCTTATGTGTAGAAAAGTAGTCCTCCTATGTGCTGTTTACCTTCAAAATCAAGTTTAAATTGTCCTTGTTTTAATTTAAATAACTTTCTTTCTTATAATATTTCTTAAAAAAAAATTAAATTAGTCAAAATGAGCCAGAAAGTAAAAAAAAATCCGTCCAGGAAAGCTTTTTTTCAGTGCATCCCTGCTTTCTTTATCTTGTTTGTGCCTTTTGGCTTGAATCGTTCTAAACCAACCTACGTAATTATTTCCTGATGCACCGTTAAAGAAATCCATCATGAAAGCAGCGCACAAATGGCGCTCACAATTTCAGGTTGTTTTCTGAGTGTGCTGAGTTGTGCTCCATTGCCAGGGTGAACCGGAACCGTTTGAGGAGACCAATGTGGACCGTCTGATGAGCTCGCTGGGTTACGGAGGAGGATCCACTGGAACCGGGAACAGCAGTTTGGGGGTGAAAGCTCACCGTGGCTCCGACTCCTCCACACTCAGCTCGCAGCCTTCCATTGACGAGGTCCGCACGCAGATGCACATGTTGCTTGGCAACGCTTTCAGCCTGGCGCCTCCGGATCATGACCCTCCCTCCCCTCCAACTAAGTAATTTTATTTTTCTCGCTGATACTTTATCTCCCAGCACATCTGCATCTCTAACTGTACTGTGTGGAAAAGCAAGAGGTCCCCTGGTGCACAGTTTGAACTTTTGAAGAGATAACATCCCACTCTCAAGCTGTTTCACAAAAAGCAGAATACATTTAAAGCCTGAACATATTTGTTCAGTTTTTCAAAGCATACTGCTTTTCATATTTATTTTTTTTCCATTTTCAGCCACCATCACCACCACCACCATGCCCACAGTGTCTACAACCCCACCCACAGTAGTCACTACAATGATGGTGTGACCAGTGCCCCGGGGACCATGAACCACCCCTGTGGGGGCAGGCAGAGGAACGCAGGTTACGAGGACATGCACCAGTGTAGCCTGCCTAAACCGGTAAGAACAGAACTAAAATATGGAGTTTTACAATAAACAGATGGGAAGTTACTTTTAAAACTCTATGCAGATAATAAAACTACCAAAATAAAATATTCCCAGCAAAAAGAGGAGATATTGGCTGTGTCCGAACTCTAGATCCCTCAATCACTATATAGAGCGGGGACTTTATAGCAAACTCAATTAACTAGGCGTTTGGAGAGATAATCACTACTTTTCATTCCCCGTTGGCCACGTTACTCCGCCTCCACCACGCAGTGCCTGCGCCATCTTTGTTATTACTGACCACTGTGGCGACAGCGGGCCGCTATGACAGCAAATCCCACAATGCTTTGCAAGGAGACCTCTCGCAAAACATTATGGGATATACAGTATCTGCTTGTCTAGTGACCATGGATGATCACTACTTTTCAAGGTTCATTGTGGAAAATTTCAATTCCACAATTTTTTCATCCACTAAATGCTCGGACACTCATTTAAAATGGCCGTACATATATAGTGCCCTATATGTAGTGATTAGGGTGGACATTCGGACACAGCCTATGTCAACTTTTTATTATGGTTACAGCTGCAAACTTGACTTTGTTGATTAGTTTGACAAAAAGCAGTGAGAAAGAAAAAAAAAGGTTTTAAAGCTGCATTGAGTAACACATACTTCCATCTGGCGGTGCATTAAATGAATGAGATACAACAGACTGGTGCTCCCACATCAAGCGTGTGAAACCCACAGTACGACGGAGGCCACGGAGGGACATTCTATTC